CAGGCGGGGGCCCCGGGGACAGTGCAGAGCCACTGACCTGCCAGGCTCCAGCTGGGCGGGGGGCCTGTGAAGCCTGCCCCCTCCTCCTCCCTGCCCTCCTTCCTCCTCCTTTCCCTCCTCCCCTCTCTCTCCCCCTCCCTCCTCCCTGCCCTCCTTCCTCCTCCTTTCCCTCCTCCCCTCTCTCTCCCCCTCCCTTCTCCCTCCCTCCCTCCCTCCCTCCCTCCCTCCCCCCCTCCCTCCCTCCCTCCCTCCCGGCCACAGGAACCTCTGCTGCATTGAGTTTGTGGCCAGGAGGCTGAGGCCCGCAGGGATGACCCAGCACAGTTCCTGGGGAGGGCTGAAGGGGGGCGGGGGGTTGCACTGGGGCCCATCCCCTGCCTCTTGCTCCGTTTCTCTGAAGTCTGGCCTCTGGGGAAGGGGAGCCCCCAGACCCCACGTGGTTCCCCGTGCCCGGCCCCCCAGGCCCTGCCAGCCAGGCCCCCCCAGCTCAGTGCCAGCTTCCCCCGCAGCCGCTGGTGTTCGGCGCCATGGTGCACAGGGACGAGGCCTTCGAGACCATCTTCAGCCAGTACCTGAAGATCACGGCGGGCGCGGCCTCGGGCAGCGACAGCTAGCGCTCCGGGCACTGGGGCGTGACTGACAGGGGAACATCGGACGCCCTCCTGACCTTTGGCAATAACCCTGGACCTGCGGCTTCTGTCGTGCGGACCTGCATTCACAGACCCCGCGCAGGGGCGGGGTCGCTCGGACGGTGCCAGCCGCCGGCGGGCCAGGCAGGTCCCCGACTGCGGGCACAGGGCAGGGTCCTCAGAGGCCTCGGGAGGAAGACACACAGGACGCGCTGTCCCGTCCGCCAAGCACAGCGGCTCCTCTTTCCCCCGGGCAGGGACGGCACGGCCCGCAGCGGCTCCATGACCGGGCGCTCCCACCAAAGCCACAGCTGCAGGACGGCGATGCCACGGCGGAGGCCCTCACGGCCTCTGTAACCTGCTCTCCCTTCGGCGGGCCCCTGCTGCGTGGCCCCAGAGCGCCATGGGCTAGTGTGGGCGCCGCGAGGGCCTGTGTCCGCGCCCGACGTGGGGGTGGAGGCTGTGGAGCTGGAAGCACATTTCCTAACACTTTGCTCTTGGGAGGCCCAGGGGGCTGATGAAGGTGGGCGCCTGCGTGGCCGGCGTGGGCCTCCATGAGCCACCTGGCCGGTGAGGAGGGGCCTGGGGCTGCGGGGGCACAGGCGTGGCCCGGGCCCGTGGTGGGCCCAGCCGTGCAGACACTTCGGGAAGTGACCGTGAGCAGAGCCTAGAGGTGTGGGCCGGGCAGTTGCTCCCCTGGCGTCCGAGTGTTCCTGGCTGTGTCCCGCGCCCACACGCACACCCACGCGAGCACGGATGGGAGCGAGCCCCGCCCTCCCCGCTGGTCTGGGCCCACCCTGCCGAGGACGCCACAGCCCTGGTGGAGGTGGCCAGGCTCGGTGCATTCTGGGACAGCCCTGGACGCCAGCCCGGTGTCCCCATAGGCCTGTGGCCGCTGCAAAAGCACGCTGTGGGAGTGGGCGGGTCACACGGCCCCCGCGGGTCAGCGCACGTCCCACACGGATGACTCCAGCTCCACCCGTCCCGAGTCCCTTGGGTGTCGGTGAGATTGTCGTTTTTTGAAGAAACAGATTCTATTTTTTACAGAGAGCAAGCTGTTCTTATTTTTGTATCATTTTTCAGATGTGGTTTTTACCTTTGCCCCGATCCTCATTTGCTGGTTTGGGTGAGAGGTTGGTAGCATTGCTCCTGTCCCCCCTTCAGGGAGCGGCTGCAAGGCCAGGCCACGCGCTGGGCCCGGGAGCACTGGGGGTGCCCAGCCAGCCAGACAAGCACACGCCGCCCCCGCGGTGAGGCCCGGGGGCCCGCAGCGCCCACCGGCTCGGGCACAGGTACTGGAAAGTGAAGGCAGGACCGTCTGAACCTTGGCTTTGCTCCCACGGTGACCGCGGGTGGACGGCTCTCGAGGGCTGAGCCTCGGGGACACCCAGGGGCGCACCGCCAGAGGGCTTCCCATGTGGCGTCCACAGCGAGGCGTCGTGGGCCTGAGCTGCCCCGGGCCGGCCGTGGGTGGCCCCCAGGGGGCCATGGGTCAGCGCGTGCCAGCAGGGGGGACTGTCCCCGGCTGGGGGGGCCCTGCGGTCAGGGGGGCCTGCAGCGGGCGAGGGCTCCGCACTCCTGAAGGGGTGGTGGTGTTGGAGTCCCTTCTGAGAAGAAAGGGAGATGAAAACTCACCATGTGACAGGGTGTGGCAGCCCAGCCCCCCCATGGAGGGCCGAGGGGTGCTGGGGTACAGGGTGGGGTCCCCGAGTTGCACTGTGGGCCGGCGGCGGGCAGAGCGCAGACCTGTGCAGGCCCCGGGCTCCCTCCCGCCCGGGGGACCTGTGGCTTCACTGAATGTAAACCTGGGAGGTGTTTAATTTCTACGACTCATCCCTGGACGAGAGGGACGCTGACCTTTCTGGTCTGGAGCTCCTCTGTCTGTTTGTAAATATCGCGACGTGCGACTTTGTTCACGAAAGGATTGTACTGTACGAGGCACCGATGAAACCCTCCTGTAACATTTTTTAAGAGACCTTGTTTAAAGAAGTCTTGTATAAATTATAATTTTTATTTAAATAAACCTGAAATGCTTTGTGCTAAGGCAGGGCCCGTGCACTACGGGCAGGCGGCGGCCACTGTCCCCGGTGGGCTAGGGGGCGGTGGGGGGTTTCGGCACGAGGCCCCTTGGGGGAGGGCGGTGGGGAGGGGGTGATGAGGAGGGGCGGTGGGAGGGGGTGATGAGGTGGAGAGGGGTGATGAGGTGGAAGGGGGTGATGAGGGGCGGTGGGGAGGGGGTGATGAGGGGGCGGTGGGGAGGGGGTGATGAGGGGCGGTGGGGAGGGGGTGATGAGGTGGGGAGGGGGCGATGAGGGGCGGTGGGGAGGGGGTGATGAGGAGGGGCGGTGGGGCGGGCCGGTGGCTCGCAGGGAGGGGTTTGCACATCCTGGCACTGGTGGCGGCGGGCAGGGGTGCCATCACCAAGGGTGTGTGGGGAGACAAAGTGCCTTGGGGTGCAGGTCCTGGCCCCACCCAGAGATGCCTTCCGGGGGCCGCGGGCACCTCTGGGACCAGGTGCTGCTTGCAGCCTCCCCCAAGGTCTGGGCTGGGGGGAGGGGTCCCCGTGGCGCTCGGTCAGCCGGCCAGAGATGGGCTTCCTTTGCCGGCCGGCACTTTCATTGGTGCCTTTGACCGCGGTACGGACCAGCCCGACTTACGCTGGTTCGACTAAGGCCCAGACCAGGAGCCCGCCGGCCCTGAAGCAGCTGTGCTGGGCGCAGCCAGGGGCCAGCCTCCCGCACCCCAGCCCGAGGCAGATGCCTGCCCAGCTCGCTCAGGAGGCGCCAGCGCTGGGGAAGCGGGCCCTGTGGGCTGGCTCCGCCTCATGGCGGGCGGCCTGCACCTTGCACATCTGTCCTGCGTGCTGTCCCGGGGCTGGGACGCAGCTGCACCCAGACCCCGTCCCTGGGGAGCCGGCTCCTCCCCGGGCGACTCTCCTGACCAGACACCAGACTCTGGTTTTCTCACAAAATTAAACTTCCTGACCCCCAACCCGCAGCTCCTGCTCACCCCCCTCCCCGCCCCTCTTGGCAGCACACCCGCCGCCTCCTGACGTCGGTGCCCCCACTTGGCCTTCCGTGGGGAGCGGACACAGACCCCCTCACACGGGTCACCCGCTCCCTGGAGGCAAGGGGGGCTCCAGGCCCCACAGAGCGTGAGCCGAGCCTAATCCATCCACAAAGAGCACACGTGCCTGGTCACTGTTTAAAATGAGCCGCGTTACAAATAAACCTAAGCAGGTAGAAACGAGGTGAGCTGGCAGCCCGGCCCCCTGCACCGCGGAGTTCAGCCTGTGCCCCGACCTGCGATGGCTCAGCGTAGGGCTTCTGACTTGTCGGTGGCGCGAAAGCCACTCATGCTCAGTGGGAACCGTCGTTCAGAACCTGAACTTGGACCTCCCCGGCTGGCGAGACGTGAAATGGGCATTTGCTAATGAAAGTGCATTCGCGTCGGGCGGCTGTGGGCTCCGGGTCGGGGGTGGGATGCGCTGACGGCCACTGGGCTGTGCCCGTGGGAGCCGAGCCCTGCCTTCCGCGGGGCGCCAGGGTCCGGGGAACTAAACCAGGCACCTCGCCCGTCGTCCTTGCGTCTTTGATCTGGGGGTGGAGGCCCGCGGGCGCCCGCAGGGGCCATGGCCCTGGCTACAGCTCAGAGGGTCACCCGGGAGGGGAGAGGGGGGCACGTGGGGACCGACAGGAACACGGGACGTGAAATCAGTGAAAATGGTTCTGTTCTGAGTCGGGCCCCCTGCACACGCCTGCACCATGAATTTCACAGCAGCCGCCTTCTGCCCAAAGTCACTTTATTACCGTCATCTCAACACATCAGAGCACACGGCCACTTTCTAATCTTGAAACCAGCAAGACTAGAGCGGACGCCGAGCCACCCCTCCCGGCCACAGGACCGGAGGACAGTTCGCGCCCGTCGGGGCAGGCGCTCCGCAGCGATGGGTCAGCCGGCGGCACAGGCGGTCTCGTCTCCGCTGCTGCCGGTCCCGCACCGGAGCCCGGGGCGCGGACGGCCGGCCCTGCAGCTCCTGTGGTCACGTCACCAGCAGCTCTGCTCTTTCCTCCGAGTCCCCACGTGCCGGGCTGTGTCGCTCCGTCCAGCCTTCGCGGAGGCCAGGCCCCGGTGTGGGGTGTCTGAGCGGTACTCCCGTCCTGTGAGACGATCGGGACGCCTCGGGGTTCAGTCGCGCCATCCCCAGAGGTTCCCAGGTCTGCAGTCGGAGGTCAGCGTGCAGCCGGGAGCCACGGGGCGGGCTGGCGTCTTGTTGGACGTCGTGCTCCCTCTCAGGCCGGGCCCGGGCGCGGACTCCGGGCCGCCTGGGGGCTGGAGCGCTGACCAGGGCGGTGACGGCTGTGAGCAGCGGAGTCCACGGGACGTCGAGGCGGGCGGCCCAGCAGGGGTCCCGCGGGGGGACCCTCAGGAGCGCTTCGCTGCTGGAGATACTGGGCCCTGTGGGTGCGGCCACTGCCCCACACGGAGCTGCTCGTCCCGCGTCTCCGGCTTCTTCCCAGGAACAACAGGCAGGACAGAAGCGCCAGCGTGTAGTCAGTTCTTTATGCCCAAACCTCCTCCACCCACCAACCATCAATCCAATCGCCTTAAACGCGGTCTATTTGAAAAAAAAAAGAAAAACACTGTTATAGCTGCTCTTGCCTGACGGGGGGTGGGGGGAGAGAATGAACAGGAGATTCACATGCACATCACACGTCACACGCCCCCCACGTGGACTCAGGACGCCGCTGTCTGCCACGCGCTGAGCCACTGGGCCCGAGTGAGAGCCCACGCCGAGCCGTCCGGACGCCCAGCCTTCCCCGTCCAGGCCAGAGCTCTGTCACACCTTCCTGTCTTTAGACAGAGCCGGGGCACAGGCACCCTCGCTGTCCCCGAGCCGAGCGCAGACCACAAGGCCACGGCACAGACCGGGCCCCGGGGGTCAGTCCGGGGCTGTGGCCACAGCAAACTCAAGCACCAGACACCTAATGACTCCTCTGGTTTAAAAGGACAAAACTGTCAATAAATATGTAGAAATGAAAGGGAAGGTCAGAAAAGAACAAACCCAGACGGGAGGCGGCACCAAGCGCCCCTGGAATGTGGGACCCTCCCAACCCCCCCGCCCACGGGGTCTGAAGCTCACACGTCACAAAGGGCGCCTCCTGGCTGCAAGCATCGGTGTTTCTAACTACACAGCAGGGCACCGCGGGCCCAGGGCCGCCGGCGATTGTCCGGGACCGAGGACGGCGGGCCAGGCTGAGGCTGCGGGGAGAGCGCGACTACTCCGCGTGCCTCTCGCTAGCGTGGCCCCCGTGCGTGGTGCCTGCGGGGCACAGCCGGAGGAGCAGGAATGTGCCGGACGGTGAGCTCCAGTGGGACGGGGGGCGGGAGCCCACGGCGTTCGGAACGGGACCACGAACAACTCCAGGCAAGTCTCGCAAAGCTGGTCGGCGTGATGGCGGGCGCCTCCTGTCCAGACGGGTGACATCGACGGAGGGCTCTCCTGCGACGCTGTCTGTAAAGCGACTGAACTAGAGCCACTAACGGGCCGTTTTTAAGTCGGCCGTCAGCGCGGATGAAGTCTAAGAAGCCGGCGCCCAGTCCACAGCGACGCTGGGGAAGGGTCGTTAGTGAGATGCAACCCAGAGAGTCACGCGGAACTGAAAATGCCCGATGCGCCCACAGAACCGTGGACAAAGGGTATTTTTTCTAAAACCGAGATTTAACTATCAAAAATAAACTTCTAAGTCTGAATGTACGTAGCCACATCATTGGTCGGTTGCGTTCTCTCCATTTTCACGCTTCCACGCACAGCGAGGCGGTGGCGACGCGATGGGGTCTCGGCCGCAGGTTCCCTACGGGCCGTCCTCGATGCCGCGTGCGAAGAGCTGGACCAGCTGGCAGTGCACCCTGCAAGACAGGCCGCGCTGACCCGGCCGGCTCCTGCCCGAGGCGCCGGCTCCCCCCGGACAGCGGTCCCGTCCGGGCGGCAGGGACCCCGTGGGAAAGCAGCAGCTGCCCACGGGGAGGCCGCAGACACCGGCCGCCTGGCTCTCCGCCCCGTTCAGTGGCTGCCCGAGGCCGCGGCGCCTCGAGCCCAGGGCTCAGAAAGCGCCCTGAAGGCCATTCGCAGAGTGAGAAACGAGAGCGCAGGATGCGGGTGCGGGAGAGAAAGGGTAACATCGGGGGCCTCGCCCGGCCGGGTGGCTCACGGTTGAGCATTGACCTATGAACCAGGAGGTCACAGCTCGATTCCCGGTCAGAGCGCCTGCCTGCCTGGTTGTCACACAATTCCTGGTGGCGTGAGTGCAGGAGGCGGCCGATCCAGGGTTCTCTCTCATCATGGATGTTTCTCCCTCGCTGCCTCTCCCTTCCTCTCTGACATCAATAAAATATACTTTTTATTTTTTATAATATATATTTTATTGATTTTTTACAGAGAGGAAGGGAGAGAGATAGTCAGAAACATCGATGAGAGAGAAATATCAATCAGCCGCCTCCTGCACGTCCCCCACTGGGGATGTGCCCGCAACCCAGGTACATGCCCCTGACCGGAATCGAACCTGGGACCTTTCAGTCCGCAGGCCGACGCTCTATCCACTGAGCCAAACTGGTTTTGGCAATAAAATATACTTTTTAAAATCGAGGGGGTTCAAAGGCCCGTGACGGTGATGGACACCTGGCGTGTCCCCAGGGTTAAGACTGCGGCACCCACAGGGCGTGCGACACCTGACAGCGTAGGCGCCTGGGCCACATGCGCTCCGGGCGGGGCTCTGAGCGGCAGGATGCCCAGCTCAGGGCCGCGAGCCCCAGCGGCGGGGCACCCTGGCCCCCCGCGGTGACGGCGACGGTGACGGCCGCTCACCCACCTGACCTCCACGGCGGAGCCGCTCAGCACCTCCCCGTCGCAGTTCCAGGAGCTGCTGACGGCGCTGCAGCAGCAGGAGGGGTGCTGGCTGCAGATCTGGCGCAGCCCCTGCTTCCCCCGCTCGCCCAGGTCGCTGTCCTCGTCCTCCACCTGCTTCGACACGAACTGGAACTTCTTGATGCGATAAACTTCCACGAAAGTGAAGTCGAACTGGCAAGAGAGGGTGCTCCTGAGTCACTGTGCAGGGAGGGGCGGGGGGGGGGCGGCCCTGGGCAGCGAGCTCCTGCCTCCGCGTGCGCTCGCCCTCCAGGATGCGGCCCTGCTAGTGCTGCTGGCCGTGCTGCCCACAGGAGTCTGGGCCCTGCCTTTCCAGGCACCTGGCTCACCCCTGAGACCCGGGACCCGCCGTGGCCGCCACGATGACCGCCTGTCGGACCCGGGAGCTCCGAGCAGGGCCTGGGGGAATTCTTTTATCTTTTTCACAAGAACTAGTTAAAGAGCCTCAGAAAAACACTATTGGAGGAGTATTTTTAATAGTATAACTGAAGTTTAAAAACATAAAAAGCAAATTGCGCCCTGGCCGGTTTGGCTCAGTGGATAGAGTGTCAGCCTGTGGACCAAAGGGTCCCGGGTTCGATTCCGATCAAGGGCACGTACCTTGATTGCAGGCTCCTCCCGGCCCAGTCCCTGGTCGGGGCTCGTGCAGGAGGCAACCAGTCGGTGTGTTTCTCTCTCCATGTTTCTCTCTGCCTTTCCCTCTCTCTTCCACTCTCTCTACAAATCAATGGGAAAACATCCTCGGGTGACGATTAACCAAAAAAAAGCAAATGACTGGCCCGCTCTCTGCATGTTCCAGGCAGGCTCGGGGTCTCCCTGTCCTAACTGCACGGACGGCAGTGGCCGGGCAGGGCCACGGCGGGGCGGGGTGGGCGGGGGGGGTGTTCCCAGCCCCGGCTCAGGAGCCGAATGGTGCCTGTGAGCCACCCGCAGGGCCACACAGATGTCAGTGGGTCATTTTGTTCTGTTTAAATAGGAAGCGGAGACAGGATGACACAGACGTTCCCGTCTCCTCGTCTCTGTGCTCAGAGTTTGTGCTTTTCAGTGAGATTTACCAGGAGTCACTGTGACAGAGTGAAAGGGGCGAAACACAAACAAATCGGCCTTCTTCCAGCGAGCTCAGTGACGGGTTCACGCGGAAGGAACCCCGACTAGGACCCGCCCAGCGGTCTGCGGGAGGCAGCTCTGCACCGAGTAGGACCCGCCCAGGGGCCATGGAGCCAGCTCTGCACCGAGCAGGACCCGCCCAGGGGCCATGGAGCCAGTTCTGCACCGAGTAGGACCCGCCCAGGGGCCATGGAGCCAGCTCTGCACCGAGTAGGACCCGCCCAGGGGCCTGCGGCACGCTCGCACTCACCTGGTCGCCCTGGTTGGTGTGCCGGACGAGGAACCTCAGGAAGTTGAACCGGGAGCATTTGCGGATGAGGATCAGGTCAGAAGACCCGTCTCCCAAGTGGGCGGCCGGGGACAGGCCCCGGGGACTCCGGGGACAAGCGCAGGACATGTTGGCGGCGTTGATGGCCAGGAACTTCCCACAGATGACCTTCCACTCCTCCACCTCCTCTGCAGCAGAGGGAGCAGGGACCACGCTCAGGGGCCATCCGGGCCACGCCCAGGACGGCCACGCGCACCCACGTCTGGCGTGGACACTAAGGAAACTGCCACGGAGGCCATGTGCTCGCCGGGACACTTCCTGGCCCTGCCCCGGGGCCCTGACCTGGCCGCCCTCGGACTCCGGCCTGGGAGCCGAGGACGAGCCACATTTTCTCACGACTGAGAAGATCAAGGGTAACATCCGGTGACTGTGCAGCCCGCACGACTCAACGCTCCGCCAGGGCCGCGCCCACTCCTGTCCCAAGACGTCCCCACGAGCCCTCAGAGACACCGCGGGCCCACTCCGGGGGCCAAGACCAGGCCGCCAGCCACGGCGATGCCCAGCGGCTCCCAACTCTCTTCCCTGGGGCCTGGCCCGCAGCCCGTGCAGCTGCCGGAGCGACAGCAAGTGGACGGCGCGGGGCGGGGGGGAGGACTCCCGCCTGACCTTCACGGCACAGGGCCCCAAGAGGACAGAGCCGCCCGACGTACCCGAGCCCTCCAGGCCGTACAGCGACCGCTTCTGCTCCTCCTCCAGCTGCTGCTTGCTCTGCCTGCAGACGAAGCACCTGGAACACAAGAGGCCGCTCACTTCCGCCAGGGCAGTGGGCACCTGCGTGGCGCCCACAGCCTCTCAGTCCTTCCCGCGGCGGGAGGTGCGGCGTCCAAGGCTCAGTTAAAAAGGCTTCTTTGGCCCCGGCCGGTGTTGCTCAGTGGATGGAGCGTCGGCCAAAGGGTCCCAGGTTCGAATCCGGTCAAGGGCACGGACCTCAGTTGCAGGCTCCTCCCCAGCCCAGGCCCTGGCTCGGGCAGGAGGCAACCAATCAGAGTGTTTCTCTCACATCGATGTTTCTCTCTCTCTTTCCCTCTCTCTTCCACTCTAAGAAAATCAACGGAAAAATATCCTCAGGTGAGGATTAAAAAAAACCCACTTCTTCGACATACTAACTTGAATTCTCAAAACGAGATTTACTTTAAAAACCCGGGGCATAGGACCCGGCGGGAGGGGTAACGAGATAGCCTCTGGCCAGGGCGCGTGTGAACCAAAAGCGTAAACCCAGCGTCGGGCCCACATCTGGGAACCGCGCGTCCCTCCCAGCGGGAGCGGGCATCCCGCCTTCCCCCTCCTGAGCCCGCCAGCCCGCAGCGAGCGCTCACCCGGCCCGGCAGGGCTTCCCGTCCCGCGGAGACCCCACCGTGTGCTGCGCCGGGAGGAAGGACACGGTGCCCTCGTAGCAGTGATGCGACAGGAAGGTCTTCAGGCCTGGGGGCGGGCGCGAGGGAGGAAAGCAGCCACGGTCACCGCCCGACACACCTCCCGACACTGTGATCGTCAGGGTGGGCCTCAGGGAGCAGGTCCCCCTGGAGGCCTTCTCGGGGGAGCCCCAGGGACAGGCTCGGCCAGCACCGGGGATTGAGGGCGGCTGGCCTGCACTGGGCGGCACGTCTGAGGTGCAGGGCCAGCGTGATGGAGTGTGACCCCGTGTGACAGCTGCCATGCTGGGCGCCTGGCCGCCAGGGCTGTGTGCACCGCTGGTCGTGCCTGGGGCTTGCGTGGCGCGGCCTCTGAAGCCGGATGTCTGCGTGGCTGAGCCACGTTCAGGGCAGCCCACCCGGTCCCTCTGCTCCTCCCAGGCTGTCAGTGTTGCCCCCGCAGCCCCAGGCCTGGCCCCCAAACTCATCCCGGCAATTTTGGCGCCTTGTCAGCACTTGGGACGAAGAAGACCAGGGCAGCAATGCCACCCAGGGGCGCTCTGTGCCCGCAGCAGGCCGAGGCCGGGCGCAGCCACCTGAGCTGGCCGGGCCCCCACACGCCACCCCGAGCACACGGTGTGGATCTGAGCAGCGTCTGGAGGAGGCCGCCCTGCAGGGCATGGGCAGTGGGGCCCGAGGGCCACAGCGAGTCTACGCAGGCCCCGAGCCACGCAGACCGTCACCTGGGAGTGACCGTGGTTCCTGTGGCCCCAGCTCCGTGAGCAGATAAGAGGAGGGCGGTTTCAGGGCACCCGGGTCTGTAGCTACCGGGGAGCCTGCCTGGGTTTGTCTGTTTCAGGGTGCCGTGCCACTCCGTTACCTGAGAAGTCGTATCTGATGAGCCCCATCCAGCGCTTCTTCTCGCTGTCCTTGACGATGTCCCCGTAGAAGCCGTAGCCCAGCAGCGACACCGAGTAGCGCAGCAGCGCGCCGTGGTGGTGCACGGAGGACACGTCCATGGGCAGCGAGTCCCCTGTGAGAGAGGCTGGGGTGGGGCCGCGCCCTCCATCGGCCGCCAACCTGTCCCCCCCGCCCCCTTCCCGGGCGCCTGGCAAGCTCTCAGGAGACGTGACTAAGAGGCAGACGACGCAAAGGGCGTCGCTGCGACATCTGTCCTGTGGGTTCCCTGCCCAAGTCCTCCTGCCTCTCGGCCCCTGACCTGCAGCACAGGGGTCCCTCCGGAGGGGCCGCGAGGCAGGCACACAGGACAGGACAGTGGCAGGCGGCCAGGGACCTTCGGGGAAGGCCTGCCTGCCCGGCGACGAGGGGCTGGGCCCTGAGTGGAGGGAAAGCCGAGTGCAGGGCCCCAGCCGAGCCTGGGACAGAGCCTGGGGCAGAGCCTGGGATAGAGGGGCAGCCCGGCCAGCGCATGGACACCGAGGAGGAGAGCCGCCAGGTCACGGGGTGCTGGCCCCCCAAGGCTCTGGAAGGGTTCTGAGCAGGGTCTGTGCTTTGCAGGACCCCCTGGAGGTGTGGGAAGATGGAGCCAGATGGCAGTGGAGGGGAGCCTCAGGGACAGAGCCCTGCTGGCAGACGTCCAGGCACGGAGGGTAGGGAGGCTCGCAAGCCCCCACCAGCTTGGGCTGCTCACAGTCCATAGGCTGGGCGGGACCTACCCACAAAGATGGGCGGGACCTACCCACACAGATGGGCGGGACCTACCCACACAGACGGGCGGGACCTACCCACGATGATGTGCAGGGCAGAGGTCTTTGGGTCGTTGACCCCGACGGTGGAGTAACACACACAGTCTGTGGAGCCTAAGAGGGAAAGAAGGCCCTTAACGCGCTATAGATTTTAGAAAACCAAGCTCACGGCTGAGTGCGCGGCGCCTCCTTGTCCTCCAGCCCCGAGAGCATAGGAACAGGCGCTTTCCCCACGAACGAGCGCCGGGACAGCGAGATGGGCGCTCAGAAACGCCGAGCCGCCTTGCAGCACCGCCGAGCTCCTCAGCCGGGAGAGAAGCCCGAGAAACGCCTGCGGCGCCGGCCCGGCAGCTCAGTGCCCTGCCCGCTGGGTCCCCGCCCCCGGGCAAGTGCACAGGCCGCGCGGGCGGCGGCTGGCGAAGGTCACGGGGGAGCCGGGGAGGTGGGCACCCCGAGGCAGGCGCCACGCTCACAGAGGCGCACGCCGGCCCCTCCCCGTGCCCTGGCCGAGCCCCGCGAGTGCCGAGGTCTGTACTGGGGTGACCTCAGAGCACCAGCTGTGCCCGGCCCCGAGGGCGTGGCAGGGATGCCCGGTCCTCCCCGGTGTGCCCTGCTTCTGAACTGGGTCAGAATCCAGGTCGCGCTCTCGGCTGTGCGGGCAGGGAGCCCCGGGCACAGTTCAAGCCCGAGTCCGGAGCCCCACGCCCAGCGGACTCGGCTTGGGACGGGGCTGCGCAGCCGGGATCTTAGGAGACGGCCGAGGAGCTGGGAGCCCTGGTCGGGGTTCCCACGAATAAGCCATGTGGCGGGATCTGCCATCGCACCGCGCGGCCGCCAGCCACGCCGGCCAGGGTGGCCCCGGGTCAGCAGGCACCGATGTCCTGGCTGGTGGCCCTGAGCCCCGACAGGTCTCTCGCCGCCAGTGACGTGGCCAGTGACGTGGGGGAGGCCTGCCAGCCCCGTCCCAGCAGCGGCTGCGGCTCCCGTGGTCCCGGGTGGCACAGAGCCTGTCCCGCGGGAGACCGGAGCGGAGGGTCTTAATCATTGCGTCTCGGCTACCCTGGCTCTGACGGTGACACACACACAGGCTGCTACGTCGTAATATGTACGTGTTTTCGTCAATCTTGACTGGAGTGACAGCTGATTCAAAAAATGAGCCAAAAAAAAAAGTTTTTAAACGGCCGTTTAAGACGACAGGAGTGACTGATTCTCAAAACGTCACCCTGAGCCACAGCACGGGGTCCGACGGCTTCCCACGCCCTCCTCGTTACACCAAGGGGCCCAGACAACAAGCACAACAGGCCCGAGAGGACCAGCCGGGAAGGAGCCGCTGAGCCTGCTGCAGCCAGGCCCCAAGGTGGGGTCCCGCCGGCCCTGGAACTTTCCGGAAGTCCTCAGAGCCGCGTGCCCGCTGTGCTGTTGGCTTCCTTCACCAACCGTCCTTCACAACGGAACCCGTCAGACCGCCCTCCCTCCTTCATCAGATGAAACGACCGGGCGGGCGCTGCTTTCTCCGCTGCCCCAGGTCGTAAGACCCCAAACCTTGAAGGCCCCCCTCATTTCTGGGGCTACCTCGCCTCTAACTGCTCACATCAAGCAGCCATTATAAGGAAGCTGGGCCCCAGCAGGTTTGGCTCAGTGGACAGAGCGTGGGCCTGCGGACTGAAGGGTCCCGGGTTCGATTCCGGTCAGGGCGCATGCCCGGGTTGTGGGCTCAGACTTCGCGTCTCTCTCTCCCTCTCCCTTCCTCTGAAATCAATAAAAATACATTAAAAAGGGGGGGGGGGGTTGGAAGTCCCCTAAGGAACTTCAAGGAGGGCTCTGTTCTGGGGAAAAGCAGGAGCCCCGGACCACGGGACAACACCCTTCACCCCACGACACACAGGCCCCTCCGCCCATCTCAGCGGGGCTCCCTCTCGCGGGAGGCGTGGCCGGGCGGGGCGGGGAGGCCTCCCGGTCAGTGGCAGGCCTGGCCCCGGGGCTGGGCTGGACGGGCCCACGGGTCCCCCGTCCCAGTGCTCTCAGTAGGAGCAGCCGCCAGCTGCCGGCCGAAAGCGGGGGCAGCGCGGAGCCACAGGCAGTGGGTTCCAGAGACGACGCAGAGGGCTCGCCGGGCCGGCCCTGGACGGGGACACGTACCCCCCACACACACACACATCGAGTCCTTCGCAGCGAGCAAGGCAGGTAAACTGAGTTTCTGATAGGTTCAGGGGTATTTTGCTGAAGAAAAAAACCCACATTTAACAAAACATTTTTTTTTGTTGTTAATCCTCATCGAGGATATTTCCCCCAAACATTTCTAGAGAGCGCGGAAGGGAGGGAGACACTGACGAGAGACACGCCGATCGGTCGCCCCCGCCCAGGGCAGGGGAACGAGCCTGCAACTGAGGTACGTGCCTTCGACCGGGATCTGACTGGGCCCTTCAGTCGGCGACGCTCTATCCGCTGAGCCACTGGGAGGGCTGGTCTCACTGATGTGAGGGGGAGGGGGAGGGGGGAGAGGGGAACGTGAGTCTGCTGTTCCGCGCTTCCTGCTTCCACTGGGTCCCACCTGCGCCCTGACAGGTGATCGCACCCTCACCTGGTGCATCGGGAAGGCGCTCTAACCAACTGAGCTACCGGCCAGGCCCTGTGTTCTGAAAAGACTCTGCTGGGGAGTTAACCGCTCTGTGTCACAGGCGCCGAGTGGCGTGGGGCGTGGGCACTGGGCGCGGGCGGGCGGCCGGGTCCTACCTGCGGGGATGATGCCGATGCGCAGCGGGCAGGGCACCAGCGCCGCCCGGGGCTCGTTCTGGTCCACGCCGGCCATCCTCTGCGTCCTGCCGATCAGCCCGTGCAGGACCTCGCTGAACATGCCGTCCCCGCCAACGCAGACGACCCTGCAGGGACAACAAGGGCTCGTGAGGGCCCTGCACGGCCACCCCCACCCCCCTCTCCAAGGCTCCTCCTGGCGCTCCTGCGGGGGTAGCCTGTCCCTGGCAGCACAGGCCCAACTCCTGGGACAGCCGGGTGGCCCGCCGCGCTCACACAGGCCTAGGTGGGCAGTATGCTCATGCCTGTAACATGCATTCACATCATGTGGGCAGTGTGCTCATGCCTGTAACATGCATTCACATCATGTGGGCAGTGTGCTCATGCCTGTAACATGCATTCACATCATGTGGGCAGTGTGCTCATGCCTGTAACATGCATTCACATCATGTGGGCAGTGTGCTCATGCCTGTAACATGCATTCACATCAAGTGGGCAGTATGCTCATGCCTGTAACATGCATTCACATCATGTGGGCAGTGTGCTCATGCCTGTAACATGCATTCACATCATGTGGGCAGTGTGCTCATGCCTGTAACATGCATTCACATCATGTAGGCAGTGTGCTCGTGCCTGTAACATGCATTCACATCATGTAGGCAGTGTGCTCGTGCCTGTAACATGCATTCACATCATGTAGGCAATATGCTCATGCCTGTAGCATGCATTCACATCATGTGGGCAGTATGCTCATGCCTGTAACATGCATTCACATCATGTAGGCAGTGTGCTCATGCCTGTAACATGCATTCACATCATGTAGGCAGTGTGGTCATGCCTGTAACATGCATTCGCATCTTGTAGGCAGTATGGTCATGCCTGTAACATGCATTCACATCATGTAGGCCAGGGGTCCTCAAACTACGGCCCGCGGGCTGCATGCAGCCGCCGAAAACATTTATCCAGCCCACAGGGGGGTTTTGCTGCCGCTGTGTGCATAGGAATTTGTTCATAGTTTTTTTTTAAACCATAGTCCGGCCCTCCAATGGTCTGAGGGACAGTGAACTGGCCCCCCGTTTAAAAAGTTTGAGGACCCCTGATGTAGGCAGTATGATCATGCCTGTACCATGCGTTCACACCATGTAGGCAGTGTGGCCATGCCTGTACCATGCGTTCACACCATGTAGGCAGTGTGGCCATGCCTGTAACATGCGTTCACACCATTAAGGCAGTGTGGTCATGCCTGTAACATGCGTTCACACCACGTAGGCAGTGTGGTCATGCCTGTAACATGCGTTCACACCATGCAGGCAGTGTGGTCATGCCTGTACCACGCGTTCAACCATGCAGGCAGTGTGGTCATGCCTGTACCACGCGTTCACACCATGCAGGCAGTGTGGTCATGCCTGTACCATGCGTTCACACCATGCAGGCAGTGTGGCCATGCCTGTAACATGCGTTCGCACCATGTAGGCAGTGTGGCCATGCCTGTAACATGCGTTCGCACCATGTAGGCAGTGTGGCCATGCCTGTAACATGTGTTCGCACCATGTAGGCAGTGTGGTCATGCCTGTAACATGCGTTCACACCATGTAGGCAGTGTGGCCATGCCTGTAACATGCGTTCACACCATGTAGGCAGTGTGGTCATGCCTGTAACGCGTGTTCACACCATGTAGGCAGTGCGGTCATGCCTGTACCATTCGTTCACACGATGTAGGCAGTGTGGTCATGCCTGTACCATGCGTTCACACCATGCAGGCAGTGTGGCCATGCCTGTAACATGCGTTCGCACCATGTAGGCAGTGTGGCCATGCCTGTAACATGCGTTCGCACCATGTAGGCAGTGTGGCCATGCCTGTAACATGTGTTCGCACCATGTAGGCAGTGTGGTCATGCCTGTAACATGCGTTCGCACCATGTAGGCAGTGTGGCCATGCCTGTAACATGCGTTCACACCATGTAGGCAGTGTGGTCATGCCTGTAACGCGTGTTCACACCATGTAGGCAGTGCGGTCATGCCTGTACCATTCGTTCACCCCATGTAGGCAGTGCGGTCATGCCTGTAACATGAGTTCACACCATGCAGGCAGTGTGGCCATGCCTGTAACATGCGTTCGCACCATGTAGGCAGTGTGGCCATGCCTGTAACATGCATTCGCACCATGTAGGCAGTGTGGCCATGCCTGTAACATGTGTTCGCACCATGTAGGCAGTGTGGTCATGCCTGTAACATGCGTTCGCACCATGTAGGCAGTGTGGCCATGCCTGTAACATGCGTTCACACCATGTAGGCAGTGCGGTCATACCTGTACCATTCGTTCACACCATGTAGGCAGTGCGGTCATACCTGTACCATTCGTTCACACCATGCAGGCAGTGTGGTCTGCCTGTAGCATGCGTTCACACCATGTAGGCAGTGTGGCCATGCCTGTAACATGCGTTCACACCATGTAGGCAGTGCGGTCATACCTGTACCATTCGTTCACCCCATGTAGGCAGTGTGGCCATGCCTGTAACATGCGTTCGCACCATGTAGGCAGTGTGGCCATGCCTGTAACATGCGTTCGCACCATGTAGGCAGTGTGGCCATGCCTGTAACATGTGTTCGCACCATGTAGGCAGTGTGGCCATGCCTGTAACGTGTGTTCACACCATGCAGACAGAGCGGTCATGCCTGTAACGTGTGTTCACACCATGTAGGCAGTGCGGTCATGCCTGTAACTTGTGTTCACACCATGTAGGCAGAGCGGTCATGCCTGTAACGTGTGTTCACACCATGTAGGCAGTGCGGTCATGCCTGTAACGTGTGTTCACACCATGCAGGCAGAGCGGTCATGCCTGTAACGTGTGTTCACACCATGCAGGCAGAGCGGTCATGCCTGTAACGTGTGTTCACACCATGCAGGCAGTGTGGTCTGCCTGTAGCATGCGTTCACACCATGCAGGCAGAGCGGTCATGCCTGTAACGTGTGTTCACACCATGCAGGCAGAGCGGTCATGCCTGTAACGTGTGTTCACACCATGAAGGCAGAGCGGTCATGCCTGTAACGTGTGTTCACACCATGCAGGCAGAGCGGTCACGCCTGTAACGTGTGTTCACACCATGTAGGCAGTGCGGTCATGCCTGTACCATGCGTTCACACCATGCAGGCTGTGCGGTCATGCCTGTAACGTGCGTTCACACCATGCAGGCAGAGCGGTCATGCCTGTAACGTGCGTTCACACCATGCAGGCAGAGCGGTCATGCCTGTAACGTGTGTTCACACCATGCAGGCAGAGCGGTCACGCCTGTAACGTGTGTTCACACCATGTAGGCAGTGCGGTCATGCCTGTAGCATGCGTTCACACCATGCAGGCAGAGCGGTCATGCCTGTAACGTGCGTTCACACCATGCAGGCAGAGCGGTCATGCCTGTAGCGTGCGTTCACACCATGCAGGCAGAGCGGTCATGCCTGTAACGTGTGTTCACACCATGCAGGCAGAGTGGTCATGCCTGTAACGTGTGTTCACACCATGCAGGCAGTGTGGTCATGCCTGTAACGTGTGTTCACACCATGCAGGCAGAGCGGTCATGCCTGTAACGTGTGTTCACACCATGCAGGCAGAGCGGTCACGCCTGTAACGTGTGTTCACACCATGTAGGCAGTGCGGTCATGCCTGTAGCATGCGTTCACACCATGCAGGCAGAGCGGTCATGCCTGTATCGTGCGTTCACACCATGCAGGCAGTGCGGTCATGCCTGTAGCGTGCGTTCACACCATGCAGGCAGAGCGGTCATGCCTGTAACGTGCGTTCACACCATGCAGGCAGAGCGGTCATGCCTGTAGCGTGCGTTCACACCATGCAGGCAGTGTGGTCATGCCTGTACCACGCGTTCACACCATGCAGGCAGAGCGGTCATGCCTGTAACGTGCGTTCACACCATGCAGGCAGTGTGGTCATGCCTGTACCACGCGTTCACACCATGCAGGCAGAGCGGTCATGCCTGTGACGTGTGTTCACACAAGCCCATGGAGGTGGTGAGGCCACAGGGGCGCGCCTAGCCGGTGGTGTCCCCAGGTCACAGGCGCGGGCTCTGCAGGGCCCTCGGCTCACTTTCCACGAGAAGCGCGCTCACCTGCAGCCGGGAAAGCGCGCAGAGAGGGCGCGGACCAAACGCAGGCGGCCGGGCCGCAGGAAGCGAGCGGCGCACTCACCCGTCGTAGCTGTCCACGCTCATCTCATACAGGGCCTCCTTGGCGTGGTTGGCTCGCTCCGTGACTGCGGAGAAACGCACGACGTCAGACCTGTGGGCGCCCCACCGCCAAAGGCAGCGGCCCGTCCTGTCAGAACGAGGATGTGATCCCCAGGAGGCCCCCGCCAGCCACCCTGCTCCCACCGCACCGCGTCCCTCTCCGAGGAGACCGCCCGCCACGGAGCACGGCCCTCGGGGGACACGGCCCGGGCGGCACCACTTTCGGGCGTGTAATTGCAACGGACACCGGATGTTGGGAAAGAGCCCGCTCTCCTCCTTTACAGTTAGTTCTTCCTCTTTATCCAAGTTACTCTGACAGTCAGAAAAGCCAAGGTGCGAGAACACAGCAGCAGCCCGGAGCCCGGGTGCCCGGCGTGAGGAACCAAAGCCCTGAGACTGTGCTGTGCGCACGGCCCGCACCCCCTCCCGCATCAGGCCCGCGCGTTCCCCGTTAGGCACCGTGTGCCACGCCCACGTGTGAGGACCACATGCCCGTCCTGCCGAGTCACCAGGTCTGTCTTCCTGCTTCCCGCGTGGGGACATCGAGTGTTTTCCACGTTTTGCTGCTAGAAAACGTGCAACGGGCACCGTCTTCCTCGGAGGGACTCGGGAACAGGAGGTCCGGGCAACCCTCCCGGTTGAGGCCGGGACCGCAGCGGCCCCTCGCCGGGGCCCGTGGACAGGTTTACACGGGCCGCTCGCAGCGCCCGCCTCCCGGGCCCCCGGCTCCCAGAGCTGGCTCGGGGACCTCGGAGTCAGCAACGTGGCGTGGCACTCGCTCCCCACAATGTCGCTTATTGGTAATATTATTTCTAAAACACCATCGCTTTCTTGCAAGAATTTCTGTCCGCGGTCTTCATCCGTTTATCTTCATAGAGCAGTGATGGTGAACCTATGACACTCATTTTTTTGATTTTTCTTTGTTAAATGGCACTTAAATATATAAAATAAATATCAAAAATATAAATCTTTGTTTTACTCTGGTTGCAAATATCAAAAAATTTCTATATGTGACACGGCACCAGAGTGAAGTTAGGGTTCTTCAAAATGCTGACACGCCGAGCTCAAAAGGTTCGCCATCACTGCCCTAGAGTCACTTCTTGAGAGCGGGCATTGCAGGGCTTGGCTAGAAACGCTACGTTCTTTATCGTCTTCTTCTCCTTCTGATTTGTGTGGGGGGAGAACAACGACCCACATTCTATTGTGTTTAAAATCTCACAGGAGCCCTGGCCGGTGTGGCTCGGTGGCTAGAGCATTGGCCTGTGGCTGAAAGGTCCCGGGTCCGATTCCCGGTCGGGGCACAGGCCCAGGTTGCAGGCTGGATCCCCAGTGTGGGGCGTGCAGGAGGCAGCCGATCCATGATTCTCTCTCCTCATTGATGTCTCTCTCTCTCCCTCTCCCTTCCTCTCTGACATCAATTTTTTAAAAATCTCCGTCTGCAATCCCGAGTGCCCACATCCGAACGGGTCTCCCGCCTCCCCGGCCGCGCAGCTCCCGCCTTACCGATGACCTCGGTGGAGATGGCGGCCAGCGCGAACAGCGGCGCCACCTTCCGCTCGTAGATCCGCAGGCCCTGGCCCTTCCCTCCGAACGGGTTGATGAAGACCAGCAGGCGCTTCGGTCTGCAGGCTGCAAGGCAGAGCGTGGGGTCAGGCGCGTGGGTCAGGCTCCGCGCTGAGCGAACGGAGGCGCAGGGGCTGGGATTCCGCGTGGAGCCTCGGGCACGGCACTGACAGGCCAGGGGGGCGCTGGGGGCTTCCTGTCCGTGCGGAGAGGACAGTGACAGCCCGACGAGGCCCACGCGGAGGAGAAGCGAGAAAAGGCCCGAGGCCGGAGGCGGGAGACAGAACTGAGTCTGCGCAGCCGACGGGGACGTCGTCAAACTGCTCCTTAATGAGTGAGCTCGGCAAAGCCATGGGGCGGGAGGCGAACCGCAAAGCTCCATTCGACGTCTACACACGAGCTACACACGAGCCACACACGAGCTACACACGAGCTACACACGAGCTACACACGAGCCACACACAACGGCCACAGCACAGAGCCGGGAGGACAGTCTTTCCCGCAGACGGGGGAGGGGGGTGTCAGGCCGGTGTCTACACCCAAAGGACGGAACCTCGCACCACGTGGGAGGTCAGCTCCGGGGGTCACGGGTCTCACGCTTAGAGACAAGGAGGCCCCCATGGCCTCAGCGCAAAGACGCCCTAAGAGGACACAGCCCAGCCACAGCGTCTGAGAAAAGATCAATGGGACCAGGTCACAGTTAAGACTCTGTTCACCATCAAGAGAACAGAGAGAAGCCCTGGCCGGTGTGGCTCAGTGGGTAGAGCGTCGGCCTGCAGACTGAAGGGTTCGATTCTAGTCAAGGGCACAGTCGGGGGCGTGCAGGAAGCAGCTGATCAATGATTCTCTCCCTTCTTTGATATTCCTCTCTCTCTCTCCCTCTCCCTTCCTCTCTGAAACCAATAAAAATATATATTTTTTAAAATGGAGTGAAGGCAGTGAAATACAAGACCTTGATGGGAGAAGGTACCTGTGCGCCCAAGTCCAGGAAAAGCTCCCGGCCCACAGCACGGACGGGACGTCCGCACGTCAGTGAGAAAGACGGCCCCGCAGAAAGATGGACCCGAAGCTGAACAGACACCTCACAGAGGGCTTCGGGGTGGCCCCCCCAGAGGCGTGTTCCTCCTTCGCCAGCGTCAGGGAATGCAAACTACACCCACCAGAAAGGCTGAAATGTTCGGGGTGCGGTCGAAATGGGGCGGCCAGAACTCGGCGGTTCCCTGAAGGGAGCCTCCGGGACCCCCACTATGGGACAGGCGGGCCGTGCCCACTGAGGCCGGACACATGCACCCCGTCCGGCCCAGCAATCCCAGTCCCAGGCAGGCGCCCAAGGGAAGTGCGCGCGTGCTCAGCCGAAGACGCGCTGGGATGCGTGTGAGAGCCACACGGGAGCTGCCCCAGTGACCGTCACCGTCAACTGGATGAAGGAACACGCATCACACCACGGAGGCCCGTGGCTGCCAGGGCGACCTCCGGCTCACACCAGGGCGGCCTCCGGCTCACACCAGGGCGGGGATGCACGTCCCCAACACGGAGCCGAACCCGCAGGCAGAGCCGGTGCTGCGGGCACACACCCAGCTGCTCCTCCAACTAGAAAACGCTTAAAAGCTCAGCGGTGCCTCACCTCCAGCTCGGCTACAGGGGCTGAGAGAGGAGGAGGGAAGCAGAGGTCATGGCAGCACACGCATGCACGCACACACTCACACGTGTACATGCCGCACACATGTAGGCACACCTCCACGCACACACACATACATGATCTCACACGTGTACACACACGTGTGTGCAGGCAGGTACCACAGCCACTTGGTCTTTCTCGAATACAGAGGCTGCATTACCTGGGTGGCAGGTTCGAGCCCGGGGCCCCGTCAGGGTGCATGCAGGAGGCAGCCCACCCATGTCTCTCTCTGCCCCTCGCTCCCTCCCTTCCACTCCCTAAAGTCAACGGGAAAAGATGTCCCCAGGAGAAGATGAACAAAAGTAACAATAACAACAAAACACACGCGCAGGCCGTACGTACTCAGCTTATCCAGCTGCTCCCGCAGCGTCTGCAGCCACAGGTGGCACAGCTGCTCGTCGGCACCACAGAACGTCACCTGCTCACACTTCCAGCGGCGGCGCCGGGCCCTCCTCACGCAGTGCACTGCGGGGACAGGAGCGCTGGTTCCTGCCCGCACCCCCTCCCCACGGGCCCTCCTCACGCAGTGCACTGCGGAGACAGGAGCGCTGGTTCCTGCCCGCACCCCCTCCCCACGGGCCCTCCTCACGCAGTGCACTGCGGGGACAGGAGCGCTGGTTCCTGCCTGCACCCCCTCCCCACCCCACGGGCCCTCCTCACGCAGTGCACTGCGGGGACAGGAGCGCTGGTTCCTGCCCGCACCCCCTCCCCACGGCCCTCCTCACGCAGTGCACTGCGGGACACAAGCACTGGTTCCCACCCCCTCCCCACGGGCCCTCCTCACGCAGGGCACTGCGGGGATACGAGTGCTGGTTCCTGCCCGCACCCCCTCCCCACGGGCCCTCCTCACGCAGTGCACTGCGGGGACAGGAGTGCTGGTTCCCACCCCCTCCCCACGGGCCCTCCTCACGCAGGGCACTGCGGGGATACGAGTGCTGGTTCCCGCCCGCACCCCCAACCCCTCCCCGCGAGGCCCTGCAGGACGGCGGCCTTGCCCACCGTAGCCCGGAGCCCCACACGCCCCGGAGCTTGTCCCCGCGGACTAGTGGGGACCCCCACGCCCACCAGGGAAACCCTCTTCCTCGGCCTCCTCACCAGGTAAAACAGGAAAGGAAAGGAAAGGTGCTCAACACCAGAACATGAGCTGGAGCCGGGTGGCGGGGAAGGGCACGGGGAGCCCGTGTGCAGAAAACGAGACGCTGAGCTGGAGAGACGCTGGGCGGGCGTTACCTGTGAAAGCGAAGGGCGGCTCCATCTTCTGCCACTTCCCGCTGCCCTGGGGCTTCCCGTGACTGTCCGTCTCCTCCACGGCGATGATCTCCGCCACGGGCACCGAGCAGGCGCCTGCAACGACACCGCGGCGCGCGTCAGAGCGACTCGCCCAGCGCACGGACACAGGAGGCCCGGCTCCACCGTGCGGACCGACTGCTCCCCTATTCTTTTTAAAAATATATACACATATTTTAATTGGTTTCAGAGAGGAAGAGAAAGGGGGAGAGAGAAACATCCATGATGAGAGAGAATCATGATCGGCTGCCCGCTGCACGCCCCCCACTGGGGATCGAGCCCGCAACCCGGGCCTGTGCCCTGACGGGAATCGAACCGTGGCCTCCTGGTTCACAGGTCAACCCTCAACCACTGAGCCGCACCAGCTGGCTGCTTTCACGTCTTCAGAAACCCAAAGGCCAGAGGAAAAGCCACATGTAATTTAAACTCAGAGCTCAGTAAGTTCGGGGAACTCGGCGTCACCAGGAGACGGCCCGTTTCATCCAACAGTCACCAAAAGCAGGAGGAGACTCCCAGGACCCGCTCAGCCCCTCAAGCTGCAGGGGCTGCCACGGCCCGCCCTCTGGGGAGAGACGGTGGAGAACCCGGGGGAGTCCGTCCTCAGCGGCTCAGAAACCCCGGTGGGGCCGAGGCACACAGCACAGCCCGGCCGGACAGCCGGACCCGGGGCCACGCCGAGGCGGAGGCCGCGGCTGAGCAGGGGGTTGGTCCCATCAGCGTCGGCGGGAGACAGGGAGACGTGGCTGGACCGAGGCGGCGAGAGCCCCAGCCCTTCTATCCTCTGGGGAGCCCAGGAGGCGGCGGCCCGAGCTGTGTGGGCGGTTTGACAGCTGCGATCACAGGACCGCAGCCGCCTCCAGGTGAGGCCCGGGTGAGGCAGCCCGAGGAGGGCTCCCCGCCAGAACCCCGAGGTCACACAGGATGCGGGCCTCCCTCAGGTCAGGCCACGGGGACAGCAGCGAGGCCACCCTGTGCCCTGAGGACGACGACTCGCTGGCGAGTGCTGGCGAGACCCCCATGGTCCCTGTCGTGTGCACCCAGCTCACGCCAACCGGGACCACGGATCAGTGGGCGCATGGGAAACGCCAGCGGTGGGCGCGTGGGCACCGCCATTTCCCGCCAGCACCGCGGCTGCTTGCAGTTTGCACGACCTTCACTGCCCGAGGCTGGATAAGAAAGGGAAGGTCTGTCGGCGAGCGGCGAGGAGACGAGAGGCCACAGCACCGCCTGGAAGGTTCCCTCCCAGACCAGACTGACCCTGGGGGAGGCCAAGGCGATGCCAGCAGCAAGCAGGACAGAACGCCCTCCACGCAGACGGGTCCCCGGCATGGGCCATCTGTCAGTCCCCAGGCACAGCTGTCCGTCAGTCCCCGGGCACAGAGGTCCGTCAGTCCCCGGGCACAGCTGTCCGTCAGTCCCTGGGCACAGCTGTCCGTCAGACCCTGGTCACAGAGGTCCATCAGTCCCCGGGCACAGCTGTCCGTCAGTCCCCGGGCACAAAGGTCCGTCAGTCCCCGGGCACAGCTGTCCGCCAGTCACCGGGCACGGGCCGTCCATCAGTCCCCAGGCACAGAGGTCCGTCAGACCCCGGGCACAGAGGTCCATCAGTCCCCGGGCACAGAGGTCCGTCAGTCCCCGGGCACAGCTGTCCGTCAGTCCCTGGGCACAGCTGTCCGTCAGACCCTGGTCACAGAGGTCCGTCAGTCCCCGGGCACAGCTGTCCGTCAGTCCCCGGGCACAGAGGTCCGTCAGTCCCCGGGCACAGCTGTCCGCCAGTCACCGGGCACAGCTATCCGCCAGTCACCGGGCATGGGCTGTCCGTCAGTCCCCGGGCACAGCTGTCTGCCAGTCACCGGGCACAGGCCGTCCGTCAGTCCCCGGGCACAGCTGTCCGTCAGTCCCCGGGCACAGCTGTCCGTCAGTCACCGGGCATGGGCCGTCCGTCAGTCCCCGGGCACAGCTGTCCGTCAGTCCCCGGGCACAGGCCATCCGTCAGTCCCTGGGCACAGCTGTCCGTCAGTCCCCCAGCACAGGCTGTCCATCAGTCCCTGGGCACAGCCGTCCGTCAGTCCCCAGCACGGGCCGTCTGTCAGTCCCCGGGCATGGCTGCAGCAGCGACCTTGCCATGGGGCCAGGACCCACAACACCTGCCGTGCCCTCGCTGAGCCCACACTCGCCACCTCAGCCACGTGGAATGGCGCCCGGGATCCCAGTCAGCGCCGCCTGGTCCCGGGGCTGGTCCTGGGCTGATCACGGCCCATCTGTGGACGGAGCACTGGTCACAGCTCCCAGAGTCGCCTTTCTCTGTATAAAGTAGCAACTGCCGCCCTCTGTTAAGGGAACGTCTGAGTGAGTATCTCCTGGAATGGACGGCACCTGAAGGACAGAGCACACTGGGGCCTGCAGAGCCCCTGGTGCCTCCCCAGACAGGGCTGCCCGCACCCCAGGCACCTCGGCCAGACGCTGGCCAGTGTCTCCCGGGGCAACCACGGCCTCATGGGGCCAATGTGCTTAGCAACCCCTCCCCGGTTTCCTCATCCTCACCTGAGGGTTTTTCCATTGATTTTTTTAGAGAGAGTGGAGGGGAGGGCAGAGCGGGGGGGGGGGGGGGGGAGATACATCAATGTGAGAGAGACACATCGATTGGTTGCCTTCAGCACATACCCCGATGGCGGCCAGGGATCAAGCCTGCAACTGAGATGCAGAAAACTCCAAGCCAGGGAAGGCCGGTGCTGGGGCCCCGGGGGTAGGCAGCACCGCTGTGGTGTTACCCGTGCTTTCCTGCCCCCTGAGGTCCTGAGTACACGGGCCAGCCCTGGTATACACCACGAGGGCCTCGCACCCACCGTCTGAACCTAACCCTGTCTGTCCTACTCCCCCCTCCCCCTCCCCCGCACCCCCAGCCTGGGCAAGACCGCTCTGTCTGCGGGCTCACTGCCCAGCAACCCCAGAGCCTCTGACTCCCTCCCTGCCCGGCCCCTCAGACCACCCCCGGGCGTGTGTGCACCCACTGAGGCCCAGAGACACCATGTGGGCCCGACACGCTCTGCCGGATCCTTCCGTGGCCGCGGCTTCTTCCCCACCCCCACCCCCCCACCTCCCGTTCCTCACGCAGGTCTGGGCAGGTGCCCGCCCAGCACCCTGCCCCTGCCCAGGTCCACTCCCAGGCAGATCCAGACCCAGGCTTTTCCTGTGAACGGGAGGTTCTGGAGGGCGGGGCAGAGCCGGGCTCCTCTGGGCCCGCAGTCTGGGGGTTCAGGGGCCACATGAACCCTGTACTGCGGACCCTGCACCCACAGAGCCAGCTCCAGGGCACACGCACTGCCACAGCGGACACCCCGTCTGCCTCCCACTCCCCACACCGCGTGCCACCCTGTGCCAGCATCCCCGTCCCAGGACCCGCGGCCTGGACGGCAGGGCCTGTGTGGCCTCAGAGGCCGGGGTTGGGGACCGGCTGCGTCCTGCTCCCCCCTCGCGCCGGCTATGAAAGGCCCGTGGGGGCTAGAGACACGACCCCACATCCACATCCTCGACGGGGCGAGCCCAGGGTCTCGCTGTCCCAGATCTAGAACGTGCCACCATGAGCCCCAAAGGCCCGTCTCTGAAGTGGGGGTGACACTAGGACCATCCAAGGTGAGGCGAGGACTCCAGGCGGCACGGAGCGCTGCAGCTCGGGCGTCAGCGTAAACAGACGCAGCATGAAGACCCAGCTCCCGTGGGGGGCGTGGCGGGGAGGGGGGCGGACCACTCACCCTCCGCTGATCGGGTATTAACCGAGGGCTCTAGCAGCAAACAGCAGAGGCCGTGCCAGAGCAGCCCGCGGGGGAGGCGCAGGGTGGAGCGGGAGTCCCCGAATTTCCCTTCCCTCCTCTCTCCAGCTGTGACCGCAGGGCAGCCCGCGATCCCGGGTGGAGGCAGACAACAGCACCCCGGAAACCCATCCCAGAGGCAGCCGGAGGGGCCACAGTGCGGCCGGAGGGGCCCATAGGGTTACAGCGCGGCCTGTGGGGCCATAGTGCGGCCGGAGGGGCCCATAGGGTTACAGCTCGGCCTGTGGGGCCATAGTGCGGCCTGTGGGGCCATAGTGCGGCCGGAGGGGCCCATAGGGTTACAGCGCAGCCTGTGGGGCCATAGTGCGGCCGGAGGGGCCCATAGGGTCACAGCGCGGCCTGTGGGGCCATAGTGCGGCCTGTGGGGCCATAGTGCGGCCGGAGGGCCTTGACTGTGTGCTCCGACTCCCCCCTGGCCGCCCGTGCAGAACAGCAGGGAGCACAGAGGGGCCTTGGGAGCTGCACTGCCACCCGAGCCAGCACCCAGGCCCCAGGGGCGGCCCGCCGTGGGGGAAGATGAGACAATGTGGGGCGACCCGCACGTGTCCTGGGGCCCCTCCAACCATCGGAGACCAACCTGCCACCTGGGCCCTGTGGACGGGAGGGGCCACGTGCTGACCTGACAGCTCAGGGGAGGCCTGCGTGGCGGTCTTGCAGACTCAGAGACTTAAAGTCACCACAGGGATGGTCTGACATTAAACTTTTTTTTTTTTTAGTGCAATACACTTATTTTATTAAGTTTATTATTTATTATTATTTTTTTATTTTTATTTTTTTTTGCTGAAATTTAATTTTCCACTAACATTTTCAAAGTCATGATGTTGGGGGGTGGGGTAGTTAGTTCTCTTTTTCTAATATACAAAAACCCTTAATATTATCTCCTTGACAACCAAATTTAAAAGGCCTGCATAACCCCGTGATTCCTTTTAATCATATGGGTGAAGGGTCCCAAATGGACCAAGATCACAACCCCTGAAGCCTGGGAATTACCAGGAGCAACAGAACACAGGTAGCTGACATTCGCCCGCTGGATTCCTGCGGCCAGATCCGGTGTGGCGGGCTAGGGCTGCTGTTTTCTGATCTGATCTCCTAACAGCCCTGTCTATTTTATTAAGTTTAATGTACAGCATTTACCTTGGAAATCAAACAACTTAAAGATGCTGATGGAGTTGGAGGAAAAAGGCTGAACTGAATAACTGAATCTTATTCGCTGATTTTTGCCCTTTTCGCCATGCTTTCATCACTTTCATCTACAGAAGTTTTCGATAAAAACCTGTCCAATGAGATCTGTTCCATCCTCCCCTTCAGAATATTTCTGAAAGGAGTTAGGCAAGTGTCATTGAATAGCTCCATCGCACGCCCAGTTGCAATTTTTTCTGGGTGTTTCTTTTGAATAAAGTCTGAAAGTTTCTCCCACATTCCCAGCATTCCCTTTATCTCACTTACAGAGATAACCCCCTCCTCCTCCTCCGTGTCATCTGTTTCCTGCAAAACCTCCGCGTGCTGCTGCGTCTGCAGCTCCTTTAGCTCCTGCGCTGTCCGTTCCTGGGAGTGCTCCTCAATGAGCTCGCTGATGTCACCTTCATCCACGTCCAGGCCCATGGACCTGCCGAGGGATACAGTCTCCTCCACCGCTGCCGCTTCGGGGGCGAGTCTTTCAAAATCCGTTTCAGACACTACCTCAGGCCACAGCTTCTTCATGCAGAAGTCGAGGTCCTCTTTGTAACACCCTGCCAGGCCATGTCGATAATTCTGAGGCATGTCACGATGTTATAGTGGTCCTTCCAGAACTCTCGAAGGGTGAGGTTTGTGCTCTCCGTCACCTCAAGGCAGTGGCGGAACAGGTGCTTGGTGAAGAGCTTCTTGAGATTAGGAATCACCTGCTGGTCCACTGGCTGCAGGATAGGGGCGGTGTTAGGCGACATTAAACTTCAACTAAAAGCAGTGATGGTGGGTGGTCACCTCCTAGGCCGGTATCTTCCCTGCCAAGGTCAACCTTTACCTTCACTGAGCCTACCTGTCTTTTTGCATCTACAAGAACATACCCTTGACATGTCTGGGTAACTGGTAACTTCCCTTTTTCTGGACCCCTTGGGGCACAACCAAATGTGCTGGGCGCCAGGACAGAGACCACAAATGATCATGTTAATTGTTCCTGCACCCACCTAAGCATGTGTCCATCATTTTACTTTTCATCCAATCCCAGGGGTTTCCCCGCTTTGCTTGCTCCCATCTCCCTAGTCTGTCACCAATGGGTTTCCTGTAGCCCACCTGCGTCCCTCCTTTGATTGCAATGTATAAATACGGATGAGAAATGCCATTCTGTGGCGCATCATCTCAACCCGCTGAGGTTCTGCTTCCCGGCAATTGTCGATAGTTTGGCTCAATAAACTCACAACAATTCCTTACGGGTTTGAGAGTTTTTACGGTGACACACGTTGACACCAGGAACCTCCCACCTCTGGGTGTCCAGGATGATGCTCCGACCAACCACGGCAGCGGCCCGGGCCCTCCTCTGGTCCTGGAGTCACTGCCCCCGCGGGCAGGTCTGTGTGCAACTGGTTAGACTAGAGAGACACCCTGGGGCAGCCTGCCATGCACACGCTGTGCCCACAGGATCCCTCTGCCCTCACGGCCCAGGGCACGTGGGGCGGGGGGGTCAGAACCAAGTGAGCGCCCACGGCAGCGGCGGCGCTTTCCCAGACGCGCTGGGTGTTGGGAAGGTCAGAGGAGTTTTAGCCGCGGGGACCCGCTGCCTGTACATCCCACGGTCACTCCTCTCAGCAGCGGGGATTTCGCGGAGGGTCAGGCTGGCTCCCCGCTGCCTGCTCGCGTCGATAAAGCTTTATTGGCGCGCAGCCGCACACCTTCATTGGCCCGCGGCCCGCAGCTGCTTTTCCTGCTACAACAGCAGAGCTGAGAACGGTGACCCACAGCCCTGAACGCTTTGCTGTCTGGCCCTTTAAGACAGTGCCGCCGACCTATTTTAGAACAACAAATGGCAGTTCACCTCGGAGCAATCTCAGGACAATGGCAGTTTCTCCGCCTGCTGCTAAGTCATGTGACCTGACGAGACCGGGGCCAGAGCCTGAAGGGACAGCACGGGAGGGCAGCTCAGGAACCCACCAGCCTGGCCGGTCCCTCGGGGCTCTGTGGCTGCCCACGTCTGGGGACACACTTTATACACAGCCACAACCTGCCCGAGGAGCTGGCCACCTGCCGGGGCGTCCCAGGTGGAGCCAGGGCAGTGCCCATGCCCCCCCCCAACACACACACACACACACACACACACACACACACACACACACGCGCGGCTCCCAGCCCCAGCCCTAAAAGACCCCACTCGGAGTCTGAGTGCGTTTACTGCCAGGGGTGTAACCCAGACACAGTTTCAGTCTGTTTCAAGTTCAACCACTTTGCCAGGTTTCCTGTTTGCAGTCACCCCACTTCCGCCAGGGAGCACATGCTGGCTCCCAGCTTCCTCGCAGCGGCCTCACGGGGTGCAGGAGGGCCGGCCCCCAGTTCCGTCTGCTCCTGGACTCTCGCTCCCAGCGCAGCGGCCAGAGGACGAGCGCGCCTGCACCCAGAGCCGCTCCCTCGGCACAGCCTGCGCCTGGGGGCCATCAGGTCGGGCTTCCAGCTTTCTCCTCTGAGAACAGGAGAAGGGGGGGGCTCAATTCACCCCTCCCCCGCCCGTGCCCGGAGCTGCATGGTGCCCCCAGCCTGGCCTCCGGGGCCCTCCTAGAACCTGTTTTTGCACAGCCTCCATCCCTCCGTCCCCACCGGGCCACCATCCGTCCAGCTGGGCGCGCACTCTGCTCCCTGAACCCAGTGTCCAGTGTGTGTCTGCCCTCCTGCCCGGGGCCTGGGGCCTTTTGGGGGTGCAGTTATGAGGAAACCCACAGAGCTGGCAGCTGTGTTCCCCCACCGCGGTGGAGAGCAGAGTGGATGAGCACAGGCCGTTCCCTGGAGGAGGTCAGGAGGCCCAGCCTCCCAGGAAGGGGGTCCCATCAGGAAGCTGGGGTGCACTCGCACCAAAATGCTCACAAGAGGAGCAGCGGGTCCCCCCGGGAGGACTGCGTCCGCTGCGGAGTGGGCAGCCTGCAAATGCAAGCGGCCGCACCAAGCCGGCTCTGCTGACCCGGAGCCATAATAGCAGCCTGCGGAGGTGCCAACGCGGCAAGAGGCAGGGAGCATCCCGCAGGGAGGGGGGCCCCTCAGGCTGGGGGTGGCCACGCCGCCGGCTGCTCACAAGCACAGCAGCCGGACCGGGACCCACCAAGCCTCCAGCTCCAGCCACCGGCTGGGCCAGCGACTTAAAGTCTCCGTGACTCAGTCCCTTCATTTGCAAAGCAGAGCGGGCTGTGTGCAGGGGCCGCTCATGGCGGGCACTGGAGGGACCCCTCAAACAGGACGATGCAGGCGGTGCCTGGTCATCCTCAAGCCCAGGGCCACGGGAGCCGGCCCAGCTGCGTTCGCCTGGGCTTCACAGAGCAGGAATCAGACGGAGGGCCCGGCGGGGGCCGCCAGGAGGCAGAGCCTGACATCGCTCCCCGGGGGGACGTCGGAGCGACCCTACAGGAGCAGACCTCGGACACCCAGCCACAGGCTTCTGGTGACTCCAAGGCCAGAAACCAAATGGTGGTCAGGGCCTAAGGCCACCCTTGCCCTTGGTCGACCGACATTCCAACTCTGCCCCGCCTGCAGACCCCACAGCCTCAACGTCAGAAAGCGCCCGCAGCACCCGCCACAGCGCCCCCTACTGCCCCAAGGTGTGGAAAAGGCATCCCCAATTCTGACCCCCACCCCCCAACCCAGTCACCGAAACCATAAATCCCTGCTCCTCCCCCAGTGACTTCAGTGGCCACAAACCCAGATCGTGCAGACCCAGCCCTGCTACCCTCGCTCCGGCTGGACCAGGCCAGCAGCCGCCTGACCCTGCTCTGTCCACTCTCCCCACAGGGGCCACAGGGCCTTGAAGAACGAAGGTGAGACCGGAGGAGGCGTCCGGGACTTCCATGGCACTCACCGTAAAAGGCCAAGTCCCACCTCAGCCCTGCCAGTACAAGGCCCTGGCCCCCTCCCCCAGCTCTCCCCCATCCCTCCCTCCCCCCCATCCATGCTGGCCTCCTGGCTGGCCTCAGGGCCTTTGCACTCCCTGTTCCTCCTGCCTGGAGCATCTCTCCCCAAAGCGCTCTGGTCTCTCCAGGTCTCTGGTCAATGCTGAGAGGGAAGCGAGGGCTGCGGGGACTCCCTGTGCCCCGGTGACCTGCCCCCCTGCGGGGCTCTCTTCCTCACACATACATGCCCGCGCCCCCTTCGTCTGTCCTCTCCGCAGGCTGGGACCTGCCCCGCAGGCCTCCAACAGCAGCTTGAGGACAGGCTCACACCTGCTCACACTCGCCGCCAGGCTGTCCTGGACCTGGCCACCCCCTTCTCACTGTCCACACCTGGTCTCCTGCAAGCCCCGCCTTCCCGGGATCAAATGACATCTCAGTGCTCAGCTCAGGGCGCCCTGTCCTTGTCCACGTCCACCCAGCGTCCTCCCGGCCCCGCATCCTCTCCTTTCTTCTCTGGATTACACCTCAACAGGGAGGCCCGCAGGCCACGTGGCCGGCCAGACCCCCGCGAGCCCCACCCCCGGCGATCGGGCAGCGGGTCCCCAGCCGCCCTTGGCTTTTCCCCAGAACCAGCCCCTGCCCGCGCAGAGGCCGCCTCCCAGGCTCGGGGTCCCTTTCAGAGGAGCATCTGCCCCGGGGTGACCTTGACACACCTGGGGCTGCGGGCGCCCCTCGGGTGGCTCATCACACTGGTCCCCACGGTGCCCTTCGGCTCCCTGCGGGCCGCCCCAGGGGGATGGGGCCGGGACCCCTCCCCTCGGCCTCCAGGACCGCACCCTCCGGCCGCCTTCCCGCACGCCTGCCCGCCCCTGGTCCCTCCGTCCCTCCGCCCCTGGTCCCTCCGTCCCTCCGCCCCCTGGTCCCTCCGTCCCTCCGCCCCCTGGTCCCTCCGTCCGGAGCGAATAGGTCTCCGCGCCCAGCGCGCCCTCCGCGCCCCTCCTCCCGGCCCCTTCGCTCCCCGCCCCACGTTCCCTTCCCCCACGGCCTCCCGGCCCCCGCACCCCCTGCCCCGGCGCCCGCCCCCCGGGCCCGCGGACACTCACCCGCGCCGGGGACGGCGGCTCCGGGCCCCGGGCTGGGCCACCAGCGCAGCAGCGCCCGCGCGGGGTCCAGGCTGACGGCGCAGCGCTGCCGCTTCACCCACAGCACCGAGCGCAGCGGCTCGGCCGCCCCCATCGCGCCGGCCCCGCGGGCGCCGCCTCGGCCGGGCGGGGGGCGGGGGCGACGGGCGGGCGGACGCCGAGGGGCGCGGGACCGTTAGCGGCCCCTGGAGCCCGGCCGGCGGCGGCGGCGGCGCGGGGCGGGCGGGGCGGGCGCGGCGTTGCGTCACCCCGTACGCCGGCCGCGGGCCGAGGAGGGGCCGAGGGGCGGGCGGGGCGAGGGGGAGCGGCGGGGCCGGGCGTCGGGTGCGAGGGGGTCGGTGGGGGCCGAGGAGGGAGCGGGTCCGGCGGGTTCGCGCGGGGCGGGCGCGTCCGGAGGCCGAGCTGGGGAGCGGCGCCCCGCTGGCGGCTGGTGGCTGGGTCCCTCCTGCGGCCGGCCGCCGGGGAGCTCAGTAGCCCCCCCCCCCCGCAGGTCCCGGTGACAGCGGCCCCCCCTCCGGGCAGGTCCCGATGACAGGGAGTACCCCCCTCCGGGCAGGTCCTGATGACAGGGGGTTCCCCCCCTCCGGGCAGGTCCCGATGACAGCGGCCCCCCCCCTCCGGGCAGGTCCCGATGACAGCGGCCCCCCCCTCCGGGCAGGTCCCGATGACAGGGGGTTCCCCCCCCTCCGGGCAGGTCCCGATGACAGGGGGTTCCCCCCTCCGGGCAGGTCCCGATGACAGGGGGTTCCCCCCTCCGGGCAGGTCCCGATGACAGCGGCCCCCCCTCCGGGCAGGTCCCGATGACAGGGGGTTCCCCCCCTCCGGGCAGGTCCCGATGACAGGGGGTTACCCCCCTCCGGGCAGGTCCCGATGACAGCGGGTCCCCCCCTCCGGGCAGGTCCTGATGACAGCGGGTCCCCGCGCAGAAATGCCTCCCGGGCACCGCGAGGCGGGGAGACCTGGGCCCAGTGGCCCGGCCCTGGGAGTGGGCGGCAGGGGCCCACGCCATCCGGGTGCAGCCACCCCGGGTGGCATGTGGCTTGGGCCCCAGTTCCCTTCTCGGACCCCTTCCTTGCCGGGCTGGGCGAGCCTGCCATCCAGGGAGGCAGGGCGGGCAGCCTGGGGGGGAGGGGGCCCTGTGAGACCAGGTGGACGTGGCCGCCCTCTCCCCCGCTTGTGGCCCACCCTGAGGCCACCTGGGGAGGCAGGTGTGGCGGGTCCCTTCTCCCGGGTCGGGGGGTCCCAGGTGCCTGCGTACCCAGGCTGAGGGCAGAGCCCCCGAGGAGGCTGGCTCAGAGGCCCTCCAGGCTGGGGCTGCGGAGAGCAGCCGGGGTCCCACAGCCCCTGGCCGGGTGCTCGTGGCCAGCCTGCGAGGGGGATGCTGGCGTGTGAGCGCCTGGGAGCCACCAGAGCCAAGGGGGCCTGCAGGCTGCAGGCAGGGAAGGCCGGCTGGAGGAGGAGGCCTTCCTTCTGGGACGCTGGGGGGTGGGAGGGTGAGGCAGCCAAGCCCTCCCCTCCAGACCAGGCCCAGGAGAGGGAGCTGCTGGTCTGAGCCCAGATTCAACCCTCCCCTCTTCGCGGGGGTCTTCCCTGACCCCCCACTGAGCCATCGCTGCCCCGGGAGCGGGTCTGCCCGCCTCGGCTCCAGGAGGCATGACTCGTCTTCCTCTGGAGCCCTGGTGCCAAGAGCAGCCCTGGCACAGTCCGCACAGGGCACCTGCCCCAGACTGATCAGTGAGGACGCTGCGCTGAGAGAAGGCAACGTGCCTTAAAGGCACAGGGTGCAGAGGTGGCAGAGGTCTGGCTCCAAGGGCCCCAGCCACCTGCCTCCTGTCAGCTCTCAGCCCAGCGTCCCCTGGGTGCCTCCCACGGGAGCCTGCCCAGCAGAGGGCGAGCCCATATCCTGGCCGCCTGTGCCTGGCACCACGTAGCCACCCGCACGGGTCTGATCCTGCCAGCACCCAGTGATTCACGCTTCCCCGGGAGCCCGGCCCAGCTCCAGGCGGGTGCTGGGAGCACAGAGCAGGGCGGCCACCGGGCAGAAGGTAGGATGTGCGTCCCAGCCCCGCCCCTGGGCAAGGCGGGCCTGTTCTGCCCGCCGGCCTCCTCCCTCCCACGCTGCTGCTCCGCGGCTCCAGAAATGTGGACGTGTAACTTCTCTGGAAGCCAGAGCTGCGTGGGAAGGACAATGGCAGGGAGGGGCGGTGGGCAGGGGCCCAGGACGCCCACCTCCCTGCCCCGGCCTCTGCGACCTCCCTGGCCTGGCTCCTTGTCCCCACTGGGTTATTCAGTGGAGGCCCTCTAACGCCCCTGGAGTCCTGGAGTCTGAGTTGGGGGCCTGAGAGATAAAACACCGGGGCCCCCGGGGGCCTGAGGCGGGACCCTCGCCCTCCTCACTCCCAGCTCAGAGGCCGGCCCGGGTTCTCAGTGCTGTTATGGGCTGAGTTGCTTCCCCTAAAATTCACCTGTTGAAACCCTCACCCCCGGCCCTCAGAATGTGACTGTATTTGGAGACCAGGCCTTCAGAGAGGTGGTGACGATAAAGTGAGGTCGTGGGGTGGGTCCCCATCCAACTGGACTGGGTCCTTACACGAGGAAGTGGGGGCGTGCAGGGGCCAGGGCGCCCGAGCACAGAGGGAGCCGTGTGAAGAGAAGCGGCCTCAGGGAAACCCGACCTGCCGGCACTGACCTCGGGCCTCCAGCCTCTGGGAGCTGGAACCGAGAGGAAACCGTTTGACCGTCGAGCCACGCAGGCTGTGGTATCTGCCACCCCAGCAAAGTAACACGGTGGCCGTCCACCCTGGGGGGTGGGGGGTAATTCTGGGCTCAGTCGGGAGGGGCCTGGCCCACGCAAGACAAGACCCCCGGGGAGAAGGCACAGCCCTGGGCCATGGGAGGCAAGAGGCAGCTTTGCCCGAGGCACTGCCGGACCTGCCACGCCCGGAGCTGGCTGTCTAGGCTCCCAGATCCGTCCACACCAGCCTTCAAAGGCCCCTCGACCCAGTTCCCCTGACAGCGTCCCCGCCCCCTGGCCCACCTCTGCCTGGCACAGGGCCCCTTCCACATGCCTGTCGGGGAAAGCCCACTCAGCCTCCCCTCCCCCACCTCCCCGCCCTTCATGCCACTGAGTGCCCGGCAGCCCACAGTGTGGGCACCACCCCGCAGGGCTCCCCGCCCGGCTGCCACGTGCAGGGCTACAGACTGTGCCCGCCCACCTGTCACGGTGGAGGTGACCGGGCTGCCAGCTGGGCCGGAGAGCCTGGGCTCAGCCCGCAGCCAGGAGCCTCCATCAATCAGCCTGCCACCCGCCCGCGGCCACCTGTCCCTGTCCCGTCTGCAGGCCTGGGCTGCGGCCCACGTCTGGGCAGCTGGTCGAAGCCAGACATCCTGCCCCCCAGGCAACACCCACAGCGTCGCCAGGTGACCTCGCACACTGGCTGCCTGGGCCCTGAGGTCCTGCCTAGGCGCACAGCATTGCCACTCAACACCCCCTGGGTCATCCATGCCAGACCTGCTGGCCCCGCCTGCCCAGAGCCCTGGCCACCACCGGGGCCAGGCACCCGCTGCACCTGCCAGCCCCTCCGTGGCCTCTGTCCCAGGAGGCCCTGGCCTGGTTTACAGTGACTGCTGTCTGCATAGACCAGGCATCCTCCCTGTCAGGCAGCCACAGGACCTGATGCCCAAACATCTGGGTGGGGCAGGAGGACACCGCACCAGCCGCCGCGTAGGCTGCCAGGCATGCCCCCTCTGCCCTCCACCCTGCCCTCCACCCTGGAGGAGGAGCCGTCCAGCTGCGGCGCAACAAGGCTGCCTGCCTGGAAGAAACATCCGGGCCCACAGAGGCCCAAGCGTGGAGCGTGAGCTGCTGGTGAGCCGGCCCGCCTGCCTCCCTGGGGGGCTGGCCTAGAGGCAGGCGCTCCGGAAAAAGGCCGGTTCTGTTGGGTGAACTCTGGGGCGGCTCCCGGTGGGAGGGACACCCCTTGGCCCCCGTGCAACTGGAGGAGGCTGGGCAGTGGGGTGGGTGGGAGACCAGAGCGCGGGCCTCCTTAGGGGCAGGGAGAGCCCACGCAGGCGGCGGACTGTGGGTGCCCCCCCAGGTCTCAGCACAGGGTCCGCTTGGGGTGCAGTGTGGTCTGACTCCTGTTAGGGGCTGGGAGCTGCTGCAAGGTCCAGCCTCAGGAGTCAGGGGAGGGGTGCTGGGGAGGCCCCCATCCTGGCAACACCTGTGCCCAGCCCTAGTTTCAAGAGGCCTTTGTACCCCTGGTTGGGTGTGATGCCCTTGTAATGAGCTAATCTAGATTATAAAAGGCTGGTGGCCCTAACGACCAAAGACCTGCGCAGGTGGGCAGGGCGAGCACGGGTGGGCGGGGCTGCGCGATTTCGTGTGCTGGGCTTCCAGTTATTAATAATAGGACAGGAGCGAAGGGAAGGCCAGACATTACAGGCATGTTCCCTGCAAAACACTGGGGGAGGGAACCACAGCGTGAAGACAGACGGACGCCCAGTGAAGCCGGGGAGACGGGAAGGTGCCTGCTGTCAGCTACACCTGGGAACAGAGGTCACTGGCCGGAGTGGGCGTGGCCGGGAGGAGGAGGAGGGGGGGCTAAATGGGGGATATTAATCCTCTGAACAAAGAAGGTGGCTCCTCTCAGCACGCTGGGCTCGTGGCTCCCCTTGGCTTCCTGGCAAACTCCGTGTGGCCCACGCCGTGGCCCCCCACCACGGGCTGATGCTGGGCCCGACCCGGCTCCAACACGGAGAGGAAGCGGCTTGGCGTCTAGCTCGGCTGCACCCCAGCCGCACCCCCAGCCGCACATCTATGGCCCGAGCAAGGGAACGGGACTCACAGAGCCGTAAACTGCGATGATCAGACCGATAAGGCAGCTCGCCCAGCCTGTTTATTTGCCTTTTTATAAGGAAAGTCCATAAAAACAGAGAGCGACATGGCAAAGGCCCAGGAGCCAGGTGGCCCGACTCAGCGGGGGACAGGGAGGGGCACGGCGACTTCTGTTAAGGGGCGTCAGGCGTGCGTGGGGATGCGGGGGCAAGGGAGGGGCTGCTGGGGAGAAGCCCTGCTTCCCACAGGCCCCAGTGCAAGC